GTCGCAGCTGCAGCAGCTCTTTGAGCCTTCCAAGAACCCCCAGGCGCGCCTGGGAGGTTGTATGCGGGTTGTATGTTGAATGTGGACTCATTTTGCACTGGGTTGATTGCAGCATGTCCCATACATTGAGGAGAAAAGAGGCCGCCAAACACGTCCCAGCGAGTCGCTCAGCGTCGGATGGAGTGAGGGCTCCCAACGTTTGAGCGTAGACCACTGACCGAACACAGAACGCCCCAACTCTCCGGGTTCTCAACCGAAGGAAAGGACCCCACGCCATACTTCCCTGGCGTGCCCTCTTGTTGACGCGTTTCGGAGCTGTTTTCAGCGGGATGAAAGGAAAAGCACATGGGGGGGTGCCCCTTGTGTCGCTTTCCCCAAGTCGGCCCTTTTTCTTGGCGCCGGGCGAGGCCCCGTGGCTTTCGGAGTACTTCAACGCGGCACAGAAGTGCGAGACGGACTTCAGCTGCTCGCTCGAGGGGGGGAGGGGGGAGGTTGCTCCCAGCCAAGAGTTGATCAAAGGGCAACTTGGGTTGGCTTCCTCTGACCAAATCTCTCCCCAAGGGTCTTTGGAGCAACCTTGGTACGGAGAGGTGGGTTTGAGGCCAGGGGGTTCATCCTCGGCTTCTTGCGCCAGCAAACAGGAACTTGTCCTGGCTGATGGCTTCCTTCAACGTGTGGTCCGGGTGCGGAAAAGTGCATGGAGTGAGAAAGCAGCATGGGGCCTCAGGCTACTCCTGCACCGCGCAGTGGATCTCTAGCTACAACAAGGCCCCCGCTTTCGTGTACAAGTTCTCCCAGACGGACGAGGAGGCCTGGCCGAGATTTTTTGGCTAGCTGAAAGAATGATAGCCCACCGCAATGTATGATTCGTTGAGTTCTGTGGAGCAAGGCGTGCAACACAGGTTTGCCATCAGGAGTGGGTGCAAGGCAGATGTGCCATAGACGCCGGTGTTTGCTCCATCGGGGAGTGGGTTGGTTGAAACCACCTTTTGTGTCTTTGTGCTGAGTTGTCTTTGCTTTCGGATGGACGCCAGGGGTTGGTGTTGCACGGCGACGAGATCCCCTACATCTTCGGGACACTGAGCAACCCTTCCTCGCAGCAGAAGCAGGTGGGGCAGTGGATGATGCAGTTCTGGGCCGCTTGGATAGCACGAACCAACCCCAAGGTCGGTCCGTTTGGAGTGCTGGCGTTTCGCTATAGTTAAGACTTTCACTGAGGCAATAACTGGGAAGTACAAAAAATATACAAAAAACAAACAAAAAACAAAAACAATACAAACCAAAAATACACACTGAAAAACAAAACAAAACAAAAAAAAAAACACCCCGGGGAAAAAAACAAAACAAAAAAACAGAAAACAAACAGACAAAAAACAGAAAACAAACAACACGCATGCACAGAAAAAGGGAAACAGGGATGCCTGGTCTGCCCCTGAAGTGTCACGGGCTGCATTTTGTTGTTTATTTGTTCTTTTTTTGTTCTTTGTTTGTTCTTTTTTTGTTTTTTTCCTCGTGTTTTTGCACATTTTGGATGCCTGGTCTGCCCCTGAAGTGTCCCGGGCTGCATTTTGTTCTTTTTTTGTTCTTTTTTTGTTCTTTGTTTGTTCTTTTTTTGTTTTCTTCCTCGTGTTTTTGCACATTTTGGATGCCTGGTCTGCCCCTGAAGTGTCCCGGGCTGCATTTTGTTCTTCTTTTGTTCTTTGTTTTTTTTTTGGTTCTTTTTTTGTTTTTTTCCCCGTGTTTTTGCACATTTTGGATGCCTGGTCTGCCCCTGAAGTGTCCCGGGCTGCATTTTGTTGTTTATTTGTTTTTTTTGTTCTTTTGTTGTTTTTTGTTTGTTCTTTTTTGTTTTTTTCCCCGTGTTTTTGCACATTTTGGATGCCTGGTCTGCCCCTGAAGTGTCCCGGGCTGCATTTTGTTCTTTGTTTGTTCTTTTTTTGTTTTCTTCCTCGTGTTTTTACACATTTTGGATGCCTGGTCTGCCCCTGAAGTGTCCCGGGCTGCATTTTGTTGTTTATTTGTTCTTTTTTTGTTCTTTGTTTATTCTTTTTTTGTTCTTTTTTTGTTTTTTTCCTCGTGTTTTTGCACATTTTGGATGCCTGGTCTGCCCCTGAAGTGTCCCGGGCTGTTGTTTATTTGTTCTTTTTGTTGTTGTTTATTTGTTCTTTTTTTGTTCTTTTTTTGTGTTTTTCCTCGTTTTTACACATTTTGCATGCTTGGTCTGCCCCTGAAGTGTCCCGGGCTGCATTTTGTTCTTTGTTTGTTCTTTTTTTGTTCTTTTTTTGTTTTCTTCCTCGTGTTTTTGCACATTTTGGATGCCTGGTCTGCCCCTGAAGTGTCCCGGGCTGCATTTTTTTTTTTTTCTCCTCGTGTTTTTACACATTTTGGATGCCTGGTCTGCCCCTGAAGTGTCCCGGGCTGCATTTTGTTGTTTATTTGTTCTTTTTTTGTTCTTTGTTTTTCTTTTTTTGTTCTTTTTTTGTTTTTTTCCTCGTGTTTTTGCACATTTTGGATGCCTGGTCTGCCCCTGAAGTGTCCCGGGCTGCATTTTGTTCTTTTTTTGTTCTTTTTTTGTTGTTCTTTTTTTGTTTTTTTCCTCGTGTTTTTGCACATTTTTTTGGTCTGCCCCTGTTTTTTTGTTTTTTTCCTCGGTTTTTTTTTGACATTTTGCATGCTTGGTCTGCCCCTGAAGTGTCCCGGGCTGCATTTTGTTTTTTATTTGTTTTTTGTTTGTTCTTTTTGTTTTTTTCCCCGTGTTTTTGCACATTTTGGATACCTGGTCTGCCCCTGAAGGGTTTCTGGCTGCAGTTTTTTGTTTTTTAGTTGTTCTTTTTTTGTTTTTTTTGTGTTGTTTTTTGTTTGTTTCCGCGTCTGTATTTTTATCTTTTTGCTGATTTTCAGTGATTGCCTATCTCTGAGGGTCATAACGCTATAGCTAGTAAACCAGGGGACAACGTCGACACCACGTAAAACCTAGAGGCAACACAAAAACTCTGGCTACAGAGCGGTAACCGGACCCACTCCTCCTGGCAAAGGAGCCTTCCAAATTGGTTGGTTTCCTTTGGTCTCAGGTTTGCATGCGGGCGAGCCCATCCAAAGCAGGACTTTGCCAATGGCAGTTTCTCGCCGTGCTGAGGCAAACTTTGCGAAGCGAGGCTGGGGGGGGGGGGTTGGGGAAACCAGCGGCGGGCAATGCAATCGTTCCTTCTGCCCTTTGCTCCGTTCCTTGCTTGTGCTTCAGACTCTTCATGCATGTTCCGGTTTGTTCTTGTGGCTCTTCCGTCACATTTGTATGCTTTGGCGCCATGAGTCAAAGGAGGGAGCGAGCCCATTCCCCAAAATTCCTAGCGAAAGGATTATATATTCCCAGTGAGGTGGCGGCAGGAAAGTGATTGCTAGAACCATATCGGGAAATTTCAGGGCACGCGATTCGACCCACCCGCACCCCGTTTCGGTTTCCCAGGCGACCCGAATGGCCCGGGCCTGCCGCAGTGGCCTGAGTGGAAGGGTGCGGGGCTGCTGAACATCAGCCACACGCCCGAGGTGGCCGAGGCGCGCGGCGTGCGCGGCCCCAACAACCGCTGGTTGGCCGGTGGGGCAAAAGCAGAAGTTGTTCCTTTTTTTGGGATTCAGCAGGGAAAATGGCTGGTTGCCTGCGGTCTTTTCTGGCAACTGGAACTGGGATTTTTACTGGGTGTGGGTTTTTTAGTGAAGATGGTTGCTAGTTAGTTGGTTTCGACTGGTTTCCACTGGTTTCCGCGAGTTGCCTACAGTGGCAGCTGCCCAAGGAGTGTCCCCAACGGCAGAATGAATCGACCACCACTGAGGAGGGTGCTTTCTGGTTCCGAGTCTTTTCGGCACAGGGGGCAGATCTTGCAGCTTCTGTTCGCGGTCCTCGGCACAATCAGACTCGTGCTTTTTTGGCCGCGTTGTGTGTGTGTCCTGAAGTAGCGGGGCTCATTCAAGGGTAGGTTTCCTGGTTCCCTTCCACCTCCATCCAACAGGGGCGCGAAATTTGCGGACGGAGCCAGGTCCACAGCTGGCCTGGCTGCGACTTCTTCCTGTCCAACTGGGACTACTACTCCCTGTGCCTTCCCGCGGCGCAGGAAGTGGTCGTCTGATCTGGTCAGATCGGCGCAGCGGCGCATTTCTGTCTGCCCCCCGAGTAGGGGGGCCGGTTTTGAGGAATTTCTAGAAGTCTATGGTGTGTTTCTTCGGTTGCCTGTCTCCCGCGTCCAGAAGTGACGTTTCCGGGCGGGCTCTGGGTTTTAGCCTGGGGTCCGGAGCGCGGCTTGCTCACATTAGGATCCCCTGCGTGAGAAGCCGACATGGTGATTCGCAGCCTGGGGCTGGGCCAAAGGGCCCCCCAGGTGACTTGGTGCCAACCTGACTCGCATTTTTCAATCTCAGAGTCTCCGGTCCCATGGGGGATGGTCCAAGGCCCCGAACGTCGAAAGGCGGGCTACAAGTCCACCAGGGGCGAGAGAGCTTGTGGATTCGAGGATCCGTTCACAGTGATACTGTTTCACTGTTTCACTGTTTTGGGATGAGCTTTGTTTCTAAGCTCCTCGCAGGTGGCTGTGGTTTTGCCCGAGGGTTCTCCCAGGTTCTGTGAGGCGCGGGGTGTGGACTCCTAGGGCCGTTCTGAGCAAACGAGACCTGGAACGCGCGCAAGGCTTAGGTGCTGCTTCGGCTGTCACGGTGATGATCAGCTCCCGTGATGCGCTTGGGGAAAAAGGCGAAAGAACAACAGAGAGCAGAGCACAGGGCGGGAGATGTGGGTTTGCAAGCCCCAAATGTGACATCTGGACATCCCAAATGGGCGTCGGTTTGCCTTGGGCCGCCAAAGAGGCTACCCAAGAAAGGCACACCCCAGGTGGTGTGTGTGTGTATTTCTTTTCAGGGAATGCGACTCCCTTGTTGCTTGTTGGTTTTCAAAGCAAGTTACAGGTGCCATAGGAAACGGCGCACCGGTCGCCCGGGAATTTTTCGAACCGCAGGCGCAGAAGGTGGCACTGGACACTGCGGCGGCGCGGGTGGAGCTTCAGGCGCGGGGCTCGCCCTGAAGGGACCCTTTGGCAAAAGTGTTTCGCGTTGGAATGCTTGATGGACCTTGCCGAAGGTTTTTTTTGGCTCGGTTTGCAAAGCACTGGCGCTGACGAGGTTCTGGCTTGTGCAGTTCATGGGGGTTTCAAAGTCCAGGTTGGGCTGGTGAGGGAGCCCAGAGAAGAGTTTCGCGTCAATGAAGCTACCAGCTTTGTGTAGCCTGATTCATCCCTCGGGATCTCCAAGCAGAACTTGCCTGGCAGCTCCGGTTTTTTTTAAACCAACGCCCAGGCCAACTTCCAACGGCTGGAGCACCTCAGAACCAACCCCCCCCACACCTGGGCCGGCCACTGCAGCCCCCAGCGAGCTGCGAGGTGCGCACGGAGGCGGCGCGGTTGGCAGAGGACCAGCGGGAGCTGCGGGTCCTGCGGAAGGCTCCAGGGGTGGGCTGGGGCGTGGGTGGGATGAAGCAAGTGGCATGCGCTTGTTCGACCTTTGCCAAAGCACTTGCCACCCAACTGCAAGAGGGCGTGAAATGGCATGGTTGTGTGCGCAGAAGCGTTGGCCAATTTGCTGTCAAAATCGCCCCGGGGCTCACTTTGACATCAGACAACTAGGTTAATTGGTTGATGATTGCCCACGACCAGGTAGGGGATCCCCCAAAACGGTTTTGGTGATTTTTTCCAACCCTGCAGGGTACATCCCTCCCTTGTGGCTTATAACCTGCAACCCTCCCCAAGCGAGAGTCGCCCCGTCGAAACTTGGGGGCCAGGCGCTGGAGTCCCTGCGAGGCAGCCCGAAAGCGGAAGGCGAGTGGACGCAGCGGGTTTGAACAGGAAGCTTCCCTTCATTTGGTTTTGGGTCAAGAATCAGCACCCCAAAGTGAGTTGCGCAAAAGGAACCAAGGACTAAAACCTGCGCTCCCTGGTGGTTTCATTCTGACCCATACCCATTTGAACCGAGAGTGAGGGGATGCTCCCGAAGTGAACCAGGTTTGGAGGGGGTGGCCGGTTCTTAGCGGGGAATGACTGGCTTCAGTGTTTCTCACAGGGCATCCCAACCCCCGAAATTAGATTCCCTGCTGCGAACTAGGTATGGGTTTGTGTCAAAACAGGGGAACGGCTTCGCGCAGGCCATGACTGGTTAAAGTGCGAAGCTGGTGGTGTCCCTTCAGCCGACCAATGAGCGGGTCGGTGACTTTGGTTGTAGAGCAACTGGGCGAGTTTCAGGTCATGTCAACCCCTGATCGATAAGTCGCCCGCTTTTTATTCGATGGGTGGTCACTTTTTCGGGTTCCCTTTTGTGCTGTTGCTGCAAATGGAGGTCAATCGGCAAATCTCAAGCCTCATGAAGCCCTGTGCCAAAGGCCTTTGGGGGGACTTTGTTTGGTCTGACTCGCTACTCAAGTCTCTCGGCATAGCAGGCTTGGCGGATGGCTTCGGCTCCCCAGGAACGGGGGATCCGGGGAAGGAAGGAGGGTGGTTGGGCCGCAAAATGGAAGGCTCCACAGGCTCCACACCTTTGGCGTTGAGTAAACTCAAAGGAACCCGAGTTGCCACTTAGTGGCCCCACCCCACCCTCCCCAGTTTGTCGGGGACACCCCACAGGTTGTGTGTCTTGCATGTATGTGCGTGTCTTGCATTTATACCCTCCCCTCTGCGCCAACCTTTTGCCCTTTGCTTCGTGCTCTCGTTATTTTTCTGGTCATGACAACTTCTATTATTTTCTCGGCATGACAGTTTGGAAGACCACTTCTCACCAAACCAGCCTGAAAGGCTGGAGGCGATTGCCACCCACATGGGTGTGCCGTCTTGAGGGTGCTCTTGTTGTTGCTGGAAGCGACGCTGGGAAACTGCAGGGTTTGGACCTCCCCCCACTTTAGAGGGTATATGAGACAACGCCCAGCGAGGTGTGGGGCAAATGCAAAGCCACTGGAGCTCAGGCGCGGGGGGTGGGTTGCCAGCTCCAAGACCCCAGCGGTTTCTTTTGGTTTCCATTCTCCCTTTTTCTCAGGGGTCCACCTTTCTGGGATGCCCCCAAACTGGTGTGCCCCTGAAATTTGGTTTCAACATCTCCAACGTTTGGCAAAGGGAGATGTTGCGAGACCTGGATCCTTAATTTTTGAACCTCAGACTTGGCCCAATGGCTGTGGGGGTTGTTACTATCATATGCTGTGGATTCGAGATGTTGGCAGATCAATCCTCGCGGTCGTGCTTGGTTTCCTCCAGGTTTCACAATCGTCGTGGCGCATATGGGGGTTGTCTCAAAATAAGGGAGTTTCTTGTTGGTCCCCCCCCCCCCCTCCGCTGGAAAAATCTTCAGAAACCAATCGGAGGACTATGGGAGAATGGAGCCGTTCCGCTGAGGCATCTCGATGCTGGATAGTCCGCCAGACAGATCCTGGATGGCAGGCAGAGGCGGCGTGTGAATCGCGCACGCGCCAAAGGTCGCTGGGGATTGAACGCAGCGCAAAAGAAGGGACTTGATCGGGGTCTTGCGCTTGGCTTGATTATGCGGAATGTGAAGTGAACATGATATTGGTGTTGTGGCTTGTCATAGGCTGTCATGGAATGATAGATTGACAAGCGAATTCTACTGGCCATTTGATCGATTTTCCCAAAGGCAGTTATCGACGGGGAAATAGAGGCAAAGGGATGGATAACGAAGGCATTGGCAAGCCATTCATCTTTGTATCATAGAATGCTTTCAAATCCCTGTCTCTGCCCTCAATCACTTGACATTTCAAAGATGTATGATTGAGGGTCAACTGGAAAGAGATGATAGATGACAAGGACTGTTTCTCCTGGCGGATCTTGGGGTGCTGTTTGTGTTGCACCTGTTCACCTTGACTATCCGTTGGAGACTCGAAAGATGCCTGAAGCCTTTGCACGGCTCAAAGACAGCCATCGCCAACTCTTAAAGTGATGACGTCCAAAGGCGCCGCACAGAAGAACTCCCCCACAAGACTGCAGCTCACGTCTATTCTGGCCACGTCATCCTTGAGTCATCCTAGGCGCTTTTTCAGCGCACTTGTTCGCGGACCGAAACCTACAGACCAGAAGAGAGATCTTGTGCGAACCAGCAAACATTTGGACTCACCCTAACTGACAGCAATCTGAGTCGAAGGGTCTTTGAAGGAACTTCCCATTGCTGGTTGGCCGAGGGCACTTGGGGCGATAAAGTGTCATGGGCCACTCCCGTTCGGGGGAAGACACTCACGCAGCCGAAATCTCCATTTGAGATAGTCTGAGGTATAGACACATTTTGTACGCTACATAAAATGTAGACCTACGTTTTGTTGCTAATATACTAGACACAATCCTCATTTTGTGTGGTACTGCGAGCACTGCGCTTGTAGCATCCGCTGCCATTGGTCATGGCGGATGGCTGGGATCTGCGGTACATCACCTCGGAGGCGTGCCGGGGCGGGGGGCTGGGGGGAGGGGAGATTTTGAGGGTGCCCCTTTGGGATGCCTTTGAAGGGAGACCAACAGGAAACCACCCATGTTGGGGGTTTTGAAACATACCCGCAGGTTTTATGTGTGTGTTTGATTTTGTAGAGCTTACTTTTCGTGGTTGTTAAAAAAGGAAGGACCCCTATGTTTTGGTGACTGGACGGCGGGTTAGTTACCGGGTTGGTTTTGGTGTCGCTCAGTTCTACGGTTTGGAACCTGAGAGCTTCAGTGTTTTCCTGATACATCGGTTTCCATCAATTGGCCTTTTGGGAGCTTCCATGGAGGGTGATTGTGTTTGAGTGGATGGGTTGCCATTTTCGGGAGGGGGTGTTCCGGACACGCGGCACAGGGGGCACTGCTTGCATTGCTTGCCGCGTCCATCAGTGCACCAACACGTTGCCGGTGCACTATGTGTGCAGCATGTGGGTACAAGACCTCACCACTTCCTGCTATGGATGATGCCAACTCATGGTGCAAGACTCCCAGTTTCCTGTAGAGTATGCCAACGCGTGAGGAGCCCCCAAACCTCGGGAGCGAGACCCGCCAGGGCCGATCGCGGGTGCACAGCCACGCCGACGAAGGGGCAGAGGCCCGCAGTGCCGCGGGAACGTGGGGCAAACGGAGGAGCAAGGATCCCATACCTTCCCCACACCACCATTCCCCAAGTCATTGAGCAACTCTCCTGAGACAAAAGGCGCGGCGGTCGATTCCCTGAAGAGTTACAATGTTTCAACCCACCACTTCCCCAGGTCACCATGCCTTCTCAACTGTTTCGAAACAGCCGCGCGGGGCCACAAATGTATTTTTTGCCCCGGGAGAAAGGCAGCGCGGGGTGGCTGCGCGCGAAACTAGGCGCGGAATTCCCCGATGTCTTGGTGGGGGTTGGACAAGACTTGGTGTGACCATGGGCCCAGCAGGCCCAGCAGGTCCCTGCGGGGAGGGGGGCGCCTTCGCTTTTTGCTCCCAGGAGCCCTTCGAGGCCTTTGCCCAGGAGCGCTCAGGGAAGTCCCCGGGAAACGGGGCGGTTTTGTTTTTTGGAAGCTTCGCCAAAGAAGGCACTGCCAAAAAGGGTTCGGGTCTGGATCCCTTTGTTGAGGGTGTTGTTTCTTGTTTTTTCCTTTTTTTTTTGGTGGGGGGGAGACCAAGCTGTTTCGGCCTACGTTTGGAAACCCTAGAAGGTTGTCGCAATAGTATGTCCCTTTGGGAGCTCTTGGGGCCCATTCTGGATGTTGGAGTCTCTTCATTTGGTGGGACCCCCTCTGATATGAAGGCAGCACAAAAATGAGACTGGAGTGCCAGAAGGGATCTTTTGTCAACGAAGCAAAGAACTCATTCCTTTGTTTTTCTACTCTTCAGGCTATCTGCCACCAGAAGCACGGCCTATTTTGAGATGTACACAAGTGAGCCAGGGCAACACTGGGCGGGCTGTGAGGAAAAGTGTGTTTGTTATTGTACTTGTCAGATGAAGCTTGCGACAGAGATGTGTGTTTACCAACATGAGTGGAGCACAGGCCATGGGATGTGTTCCAGCGAGTCCTGACGGTGTCTCACTTTTACAGGCAGAATTAACTTCAGCCCGGCCTCAGCCTTCGAATGCCCCCGAAGCATTTGAGTGCCCCAAGTTGAGTCTTTGAGTGCCCAGATTCGATTCAGCAAGGACCTTCCCTGCGCGCCGCGGCAGCAGCCGCCCTTTGCATGCCCTGGAGCTTAGCTTCCAGTCTGCGAACCATCGCAACTGTTTCAGCCGAGAGGGCCGGTGTTGCCGGCTCGCCACTGAGGGAAGGCCGCCAGCGAGTTCGAGCGCGAGTTCGAGATTAGTGGGGTCCCTTAGACCAAGCCCGGCCTCGCAGGGTGCAGACAGCTTTGTTCTGGTCATTGTGGCCTTTGTTATGGTCACTGAATCAGGTGTGGAAACAGAAATGAGGATCCCTTTTGTTGGGGAATCATGCTTGAGGGGCATATGTTGGCTGCTAAGCCAAGCCGGAGAGCAAGGCGGACTTTTTCATCTTGGGCAATTTTTTGTTTCAGGTCCCAAAGTGTTGGCCCCTTTTTCTAGCTTTTTTTTTTTAAATGCCCCTTCACTACCATAGTTCATCAAGGGACCCCCCCCACAAACACTTGATTTCTTTTGTGCCCATTTGAGGTACTACCCACGCAAACCTGTTTGCAGTGTTCCAAGGTGGAGCGGACCACGACGTGGCCACCAAGTTGGGCGACTTCAAGGCGAAATGCTTATGGTATTATTTTTTTTCTTGGGGGGGGGTTCAAGGGAAACCAAAGGGAACACCACAATTTTGGGGTGCCTCCATGTTGGCACGTCCTGTACCCACAATGGTTTAGGGAGTTCTATGGTCCGTTTTGGGTGGATTAAACGTTTTGATTATCATCGAGTTGCGCTTTGAAGTTTAATCGGGGATCCAGGGGTTGATTCCATTCTGCCTGGTGGCTGTCAACGATAGGTTTCCCAAAATTAGACCGCACCCGATGAGAGAAAGGCAAGCATTTTAGATTCGTGGGCGACAAGCAAGGGGCATACCCAAGATCCTTGAAACACCGATCGCCACGCCCCTTGCTTGTTTTGCAACATGGGCCAGGAATTGGTTCCTTTTGAGTCAAACTTGGGCCAGGATTGACCATTGAATCGATGAAATTGTTGCTTCGGTCACATTTTGATGTGAGCGCCGTGTAAGAGGGAGAGCTCCTGGTACATCCCAGCTAGTCACTTTACTTCCATTTCACTTTGGCAACAAGCTACTCAAGTTTCCGAACCCACAGCTCCTCTCAGGGCTGCAATACGCAGGTCATCTATTGTTTGTTGATCGAGCGCTCAATCACATCCTGTGCATTGTATACTTGCAAGGAGTGCAAGGGTGCGTTCATCAGCCAGATCGTTTGTACGGCAGTCATAAATCCTCCCAGGGTACATAATATGTCTCCCTATTGTTCCATCCCTTTGCTTCGTTCACTAAAGCCCTTTGGAGTTTCTTTGGTGTTTCAAATAAGCCGCTGAATTCATTGCTCCTGGGATCCGAAAGTGGCCCTTTGAAGCTGCTTTTGAGACCGGTAGGACCCTCAGTGGGTGGTGCCCGTCGGCGGTACTTTGCGGCTCCTCAAGGCAGATCCTTTGGGTCGGCGGGGGAGTGGCTTAGTAAATTTCGAGGGTCCCCGGTTTTGACCCAGAGATGAAGTCTGGAGCTATGTTGAAGGGGGTGGATTCCATGCTATGGATGTCTGGTGGCCAGTATTTTCAAGCGATGTTTGGAATTTAGGTGTTGGTTGAACTGAAGTATCCACGGCGTGTTCAGCGGAAGCCAAAGTGGCCGGACACAGAAACGCAGCGTGGAGAAGGCTGGTGCAGCGAGTGCTTGAGCTGGCGCAGAAGTCGAGGGGTCTTGTGCTTCGCGGCTCTGAGAGGGTTGGGAACATAGGTGCGCATTCATCGCCAGACTTAACCCACCTTTCTGCTCTTTTGGCCTTTTGGGCTCCTTCGTTTGCCTCGTAACCAGCAAAAGGTAAACCTTCTGCACCGAGATCTTGTGTGAGCCAGTTGCATGTCCGCCTTGCTCATTTAAGCGATCAAGTTTTCGTGAATGTGCTCTCGCTGTCATAGAGGAGTTGCCTTGAGGCGTACCCTGTGTTTGAAGTGCGAGGCCCAGGTTAAAATTGACAGGTCTTCTGAGGACCCGAGGCTAGACTGCAATCTTCGCTCGCTGGCCCACGACATTCTTTGTTCTGCCGCTCGGCAGATCCAGGGGCTGGTGGGCCCGGGCCGAAGAAAAGAAGAAAACAGTGAGTATAGCTACGTTGAGCAGTCAGAAGAGCCGGCCCAAGACGAGTCCGAGGCCTACACGGGGTTGGCTGAGGAAGGTTCAGGAAAGAGGCGACGTGAGGAGAAGAGCGAGAGGAGAACCCGCCGAGAGAGAGAGAGAGAAGGCTGAGAAGGAGAGGAGAGCAAAGGGAAGACCAGCGCTGCCAAGGAGGCGACCCGGAAAAACAACGAAGCAGAGATGAGTGCTTCAGAGACAGACGGTCAGAACCTCACAGAGGGTGCAAATGGGGGAGAAGGAGCCGGGCACCTCGTGGAGGATGAGTTCTATGGAGAGTTCCGCGCAACCGGTGGATCGAGGTCGCTTTCCAGCCAGGAGATGTCACAGAAGCAGAGGTGCCGGTGAACGATGCTGGAGGGTTTGCGCCGGCCGCCTTTGTGGCGGTTGGGCAACGACTTCTGGAGGATGGGACCTTGATGGTAGAAGTCAAGTACCTTGGCTGCGCCAGCGAAGAGGCAGGCCCAGGCTTGTCCAGCACCTTCAATCGGAGGCGCGGCGAGGTTCATTTATGTTCCGGAGAAGCTGGCGATTGTGTCTCAACACACGAAGCCGGTCTTCACCTGTGTACATTTATGAAAGACATTTCCTGCATCGGCGCCGGGAAAGGAGTCGGGGGAAGCTCAGGTGCTGGCGGAGAAGGTGGAGGAATTGCAAACCTGGGCAAATTGAAGGCGCGGCTAGGAGTGCTCTGGGAGAACTACGCTTGAGGAGATCTTGGGAAGAAGGCCGAGAAGGTAAGCTTCAGGATCCTATAGAGGTCTTGCCTGGTGGAGAGCATGTGCAGCCATCAGACTCTGTACCGGTGAAGATGCTAGACAGTGGGACGAGACTCCACGGAGCACTTTCCGATCATCCTCTTCAAGCTGGCTGTGGAAGGGGAAAGGAGTTGGTGGTCGCACCAGGACTGGAAGAGGCTGGCCTTCCTGGGACGAACAAGCTGCTGCTAGGGAAAAAGGCGTGGGGAACGTCATGCGCAGCTGCTCTACTGGCGCAAGCCGTGTCGAGGGCCCAGGGGAAAGCGAGGACGAAGAAGAAGAGGAGGCCGAGCAAGAAGGAGAGGCTGTTGGCTTGAAGAAACGGAAGTTGCGGCGGCCAGGAGACCCCGGACTCTTGCGGGAGTGGAGACGGTTTCAGCAAGTCTTCGGAAGAGGAGAGCAGCTCAGAGGCAGACTACGAGGAGAGCAGCAACGAGGAGGACCGATTGAAAGCGCGAGTGTTCTGGAGATGCTGGTCAGGGAGGTGGAGCGTCAGCTGAACGACTTGGAGGGATCGCAAGGAGTGGAGGGAGTGAGGCTGACCACTTATTTCCATGTTTAGTTGAAGCCGCAGCTGGGGGTGACTTCGCGAGAAGAGAACTGTACCTCCTGGCCAACGCGATGGATGCTCTCCGTCAAGGAAATCTTCCTTTGGTAGGAGATTTGCTGGCGAGTCGCTTCCAAGCAGTGCTACAAGAGTCTGCTGGCAGCACGCAAGCACGGGAAAGTCCTGGATCAGGCCAAGGGCTGGGAGAGAGGCAGTTGGCGACAAGGCCAAGGCCAGGCCCCCTGGAACTGGCAAGGTGGCGGAAACTCTGGGGTGGAAAGGGCGGAAAAGGAAAGGACAAGAAGGGGAAGAAAGAAGGAAAAGGAAAAGAGCGAAGCGGAGGAGACTGGCGGGGCAGTACTTAATGATGAGTTAGAAGAGGAGGAGGCGTTTCCAGAATGCCAGATGCGTGGGAGGATTTTATTGACGAGAGCCGCAGTTTGGGTGACCTTGCGTGCGGCCTTGTCTGGTTTTTATTTCACCCAGGCTTCGGTGCTGAGGACGAGAGAAATGTGAGCAACATTCTAATTCATCTTGCAGAGCAGCTGCCAGATCCACGGGCTTCGTCCAGGCGAAGCCTGTTTCCTTTACCCAACATGTGGTGTTCGGAGTTGAGGAGAATTAAGGAGTGCGCGTCAGCGCCAGAGGCTATGAAGGCAGGGCAAAAGATCAGTTCGTTATGAATTTCTGCAGGCTTTTATATCCGCATGGTTCGTGAGTCGGCTGAGTGGTTGGGCTCAAAAGATGAAATGGGAAATAGTATGCAGAGAGCAAAGCGGTCGCTGGAAGCAAGTGTACAGAGAATGCTCAGATGCGACTGCGACTTTTGTTGGACCTGCGTGGATGTGCGCGCCAATTTGAGCGAAAAGTGTCTGAGTTACACGGGAGAGGAGGTTGCGCGAATAGAGGAGCTCACGATTGAACAGGTTGAGGCTGCACTCCCCCCTGTTGGTCACGGCGGAGATTTGGTAGGCAAGTGTACTGGTCAACTTTTGGGGGACCCCGAAAGCTGGGTCAGGGAGGACGATGGACGGGTCCTTCCCAAGTTGCAAGCAAAAGTACAAGTGAAGAAGGAAGACTGGATGAGCTTGGCTCATCTTTTGGTTTCACGAGGGATTTGCACCTGGGTCCCGCTTGATGAAGTGGCAGAATACCAAGAAACCGAAATCTTGAACGGCGTGTTTGGGGTGCGCAAACAGGGGGCAACCCCTTCAGGTCTCCCCCACCTCAGGCTCATTATGAACCTGTCCGCCATGAAACTTCAGGCTCAATTAAGCGACTTCCCAACATTGCGCAATGGTTGATGCTCTGCGTAGGGCCTAAGGAGCAACTACAGGTTTATCAGGCTGATATGCAATCGGCCTTTTATTTATTTGCTCTCCCGGAGAGATGGGGGCCGCACATGGCGTTAGCTGATTGTGCCAGGCGCTGAGCTGGGCTTTGACCAGAGCGCCACAAAGCTGTTTGCGCTGGCTTGTCGGGTCCTTCCCCTGGGACGGGCGTCATCGGTGGGAGTGATGCAAGAGATGGCAGAGCGCGCGGCCTTTCACGGTGGTTTGCCGGCTGATGGCCAAGTTGCTCGCGACAGAGCGCTGCCCGAGTGGATGTGCAGATCTGTGGAAGAAGGGAACAAAACAGGCCGCGCGTGGTGGCATGTCTATTTCGATAATTTTTGCACAGCAGAGAGAACTGGTGCATGAAGGCCGAGGAGATGCGGAGGACTGGCATGTGCGGTTGGAAAACAGTTGGTCAGAACTGGGAAATTCTATCCAGCTCCAAGAAGCGTGTGATAGCTACGCAACAGACTACTGAACTGGGAGCTTTCATGGATGGGGAAAGGGGCATGGATAGGGCCATCTGCAGAGCGGCTGCTGAAAACAGCGAAGCTAAGTCTGTGGCTGGCACAAAAGATGGCGCTGCGCAGGAAAAGCGTCCAGGTTTGCATGGAAAGGTGGATTTTCATTGCGCAGTTCCGACGACCTGTCATGAGCCAATGGGAGGCTGTTTCGAGGAGTGGTGCGCCGCTGCCGAGAGGAGCTGATTCTCAGCCTGCTTGGAACTTTCCTCTATCAAACTTGCTGGGGCGCAGAGCTGGAAGAAATTGTGTCTTGTTCGGATGCATCAAGCCGTGGAGGCGCTGGCTATCGCACGAGAGCTTTCTGCCGAAGGAATGGCTTACCTCGCTACGCAGCGCTGCAGAGAATTGCGGCCAGCGCCGTGCGGAATCCTGCTGATCTCTTTGTTCAACGGCATTGGAGGAGCTTTCAACTGCTATGACATTTGTGGGATCCAACCGGGTGGCATGATCAGCTGTGAGCTGTCCCAGCCTGCAAACCGAGTCACTTCCCGCCGGTGGCCGCTGTGTCACATGCTGGCGGACGCGCGTCTCATCGGAGCGCAGGAGATTCGACGCTGGCAGGAGCAATGGCACTCATGTACTGAGGTGCACTTTTGGTGCGGGTTCCCTTGCACTGACCTGAGCTCGGCCAAAGCGAACAGAAAAGGTTTAGCCGGAAGCCAAAGTAATCTTTTCTTTGAAGCGCGGCGCATCGAGGAAGAAGTGCGCCTTCTTTGCTGGCGTGCAAGTAAAGCATATCTACGATAATGTGGCATCAATGAACATCTCCGCCCGGGCAGAAATTTCTGAGAGGTTGAGAAGTGCTCCCTGGAGAGTGGATGCTGCTGGCCACGTTCCCATGAGCAGGCCCCGGCTTTGCTGGACAGATTTTGTCCGCGTTTCAGTGGTATGAGTTGGAAGCCACAGCCTGGATACCTTGAAATTTCCTTCACGGCGCAGTGCCCTCCAACATGCGACTGGATCACCCCAGGCTGGGCATGGGATGGAGAAACCCAGAGCGCCCAATTTCGAAAGCCGTTAAACGTTAAACGGGAAGCCCCTCCCCCTAAACCTGCTGGTGTCCTCCTCTGTCCGGCGTCGATGGGAGATGGACTTGTATAGGTAAGTACAAGGATCAGTACATCCTAGTTGATGAACTTGGGGGGGAGAGGTTGCTCGATTCTACAGAACGTGAGCTTCTCATGGGCTGGGATTTAACCACACGCAGGTTTGTTTCTCAGCCTCGGCTATAAAGCAGAACAAGAAACTCCACGAGGATGAACGCTGTTCTCTAGTAGGAGACGGCTTTCACATTGGGGTGTTCAGCATCGTTTGTGCGGCTGCCTGTGGTGATCTTCTATCTCCCTTGTCTGTGCAACAGTTTGTTGACCGGTTGGGGTTGGCTCCTGGGGCACTGTTGGCGTGGCCCTGTGCTGCCTCGCTGCGGCGTTGTTTGCGGTATGGAGCACACTCAGCTTCGTCTGGTCTGAAGCTGAGAGATCTTTCCCAGGAACTGCTCCGGCGTGCAAACCACACAGGAGCTGACGTCCGCGTAACCACTGGAGAGCTTATGTCCCAAGGGTCTTCCCGCGTCAGTCTGTTTGTGCAAATTGGTGGCAGGGGCATTTAGTTTTTAAAACCACGTGGCAACTTGCTGAACATATCAGTTCCCTTGAAGTACGTTCTTCGCTGTTGAGTGTTCTTTGGCGGCTGAAGCACAACCACGGATGGGACAAAAAGATGGTTCACTTGAGCGACAGTTATGTTGGGATAGCGCTGAGCTGAGAATCCCACTGACGAGGGGGGCCGCAGCATATGAGGAGGTTTAGCCGGAAGGAGCGCAAGAGGCGCCGCAAAGGACGGAGCCTAGAGGATAGAAGCAATACAGCTAACACATTGAACAGATATTATTTGGCTATCCAAATGGTTCTTCATTTGATTGAGGCTGCAGAGCATGTGCAAGAGCTGGACAGCCGAATTGCTATCTTTATTGAAGAGGCATTTGCAGAGGGCGCTTCACAGAATACCATTGCAGATGTTTTGAGCAGTATCCACCATTTCCTCCCCCACACCCGCAAACGGCTGCCCTATTCTTGGCGTTTATTTGGGATCTGGAGACGGATTGAGAAACCACATCAAGCCCCCCCACTCCCGCGTGATTATGTGCTTGCCATGATTTCACGATGCCTCGATCTTGCATGGCTTGAGATGGCATGCTTGCTTGCTTTGGGTTTGTTCTGTCTTCTTCGGACGGGTGAACTTTTGCAACTCACTGCTTGCGATCTCATGTTGTCTGAGGACAAGGGTGTTGTGTTTCTTGGCAACGCCAAAACCGGGCATCGCTTCAACCGAAGAGAACATGTCGTTATTGGGCACCCTGTCGCTCTGTTGATCACCGCTGCGCTCAAAGATGTTCGGTTGGCAGCTGGCAAGGAAGGTGCTTTTCTCTGGTCTCAACCTGCAGCCGTTTTTCGTGCACATTTCCAGCAACTGATTTTTCAGAACACAGCATTTGCGATTTCACCCATATTCTTTGCGAAGAGGAGGCGCAACTGACGATTTCTGCACGTTTGGCAGTATGGAGCGGGTGCTTCAGAAGGGCCGCTGGAGCACCAGCGCTGCTGCAAATGTGTGTATCAATGAAGTCTCAGACAAAGACACAAGCTGTGAATTCTCCTGGGCTCTGCCATATGGGCCGAGAGGAGTTCTTTTGTTTGTTTCCGTGGCAAACTCTCCTGAGCTCTGCCATGTGGGCCAAGGGGAATGCCGTTTGACAGAAAGATTCAGAGAGATTCGCAAGAGAGATTTGCAGTGGATGCAGCTTTTGAAAGCTGACATGTTTCAGGACGTGATGCAAAACCGTCGCATCACAACAAAACCTCAGGATCTGGCGGCATGCTGAAAAGGTGAACACATGTTTTTTTGTTTCGTTGGGGTCGTTTTTTGCTTGCCACTGCCATCTTTTTCCTGGGGCTGGGAATGTGCCAAAACAAGTTGGACCCTCCCAAATCTTTGGTTTCCTTTAAGGTTCCCTGTGAACTGGTCCCAAAAGTACTTTTCGCCGTGGCTGCCAGGGCGGCATTTACCGCTGGAGCCTGCGCTTGGAGCGCATTTGCCCCGGCCTCGGCCTTTTGCCACATTTGCTCGAGGGAGCGAGGAACGACAAGGTTCAGCAGCATGGGTGTCCTTTTTGGTTGTTCTGGTGGAACAGTAGGTGGCCCGGGTTAAAAAAATGGTACCTGGTGGTTTCATCTACCAGGGCCATCTACTTGCCCTAAAAGGACACCTATCAGCGGTCCCTTCCAGGTTCCAAGCCACCCGGTGGGCCTCTTGGCGCAGGCCACCACCGGCCGCAGATGCAGATCGGCGCCGGCGGGCCCAGTGGGGCCCAGTGGAGGGTGGGGTGGGGGATTCGCCTGGGTGCCATGGAGGAAGTGGAAAGGGCGGTGAATCCGTGGAGATTTGACGCAAGGGAGCCCACGTGAGCGAAACTGGCCACGGTTTGCCAGACGGATTTAGGTATGACAGAGGGAGGAGAATACTGCCTGACGGCGTGACTCAACTTTCCCTTTTGTTCGGAGGAAGCAGCCCCAAGTGCCACAGGGGCGTTTTTTGTCGCTTCGGGCAGTGATCTTCAAGCTTCTTCTCACACCCTTCTCTTCAGAAATCCGCACCCACTGTCCGCCTTGGACTTTTTCCACGCTGTCGCCGCTCACTTCACTGTTCTGCTCGCCCGGGTTTTGCTTCTCCTCTCACTTTCTTTCTGCTTTTTCCTCAAGGGGCAGCCTTGCTGGTGCTCAGTAGGGAATGAGGGAATCAACCCAGGGGTCCCCTTGAAGGACACCACCAGCTGGATGGTTTATATGGGTCATTCCAACTCATTCCCTGCCTATCGCACCCGCAAGCAGCTTCCCAGGCCACCTCCGATGCAACAAACACCCGAGGTGCACGGAGCGAACCACCGGCGGCCCTGGCCCGGTACCTCCAGAGAAGGGAGAGTGAGGTATGTGGATGTTTCTCCCAACCTCCAGGGTGTTTTCCATTTTTTTGTTTTTGCCTCCAGGGCGTTCTGCTTTCTCTTTTCTTCTTTGGCTTCTGGATGTTTCGTGTTTTTTTCTTTGTTCAGCCAGCAATCTGCGACATCCATCTGTTGAAACTTCTTGTCCCGCCAAGGCGGCTGATGACAACCACCCGATGCTCCCGCGCCAAAGACGAGGTCTGGCGTGTTTAATCCATGGTCGCGGAAAGCTGTTTTTTGGTGGCAGCCTCTTTTTTTTTGCCAATGGAATCCCTGTCAGTGTAGTTGACTAGCCGAGCTATGGGGATGACTTTGAACACCCTTGATTGATTTGACCTCTTGAACTGTTTGATTTTAGTATGATAAAGAGAGCGTTCTAAAGTCTTAAAAACGGGAACCACTTTTGGTTTCGTTTTCAAAAGGATGTCAAGTATGTCCTATGTTTGGACAAGCCCAGGAGGCGCGGCCTTTGATCTAAACTCTCCTATAAGCACGACACAAACGAGTGGTGGCTGGGAGTGGGACAGGTGCCAGTCAGCTGTTTGTCAGACTCAAGTCGCCTTGTTCAAAGTAGAGAGAGGTCCGCCTGACCCAAGAAGGACGGTTTTTGGGATCACATCAAGCCCTTGCAACGATTCCTCACGCAGGATCCGTGGCAGGAGCGGCCTGGCCCGGGGCCCCAGAAACGGCGCGACGCCGGCGAAGTGGTGGGTGTGTCGGAAGGCGAAACCGAGTTGGTGGCCCTTCATCGGAAACGAGGGAGGCGGGAGGTTTTTTCTCCTAGCCTGGAGGGAGTCCTTGGCTCGGGATGGACGTGAACCCGATCCACTTCCCGCAGCTTGGCTTAAGGCTCGTCCTTGAACCAAACAGGTAGCCAGCGCATTTGGCGAAAGGACGAGTCAGCAAAACGGAAAGGCCTTCGCGTCGAACAAGCAAACGCCGGATGCCACCGGAGCGCCCCATGGACCGGGAAGACACCATGACGGCCATGGAGAACCACGCTTGGATAGATACTGAGAAGAAGCTCGGCCACAACATTTGGGACCCCCTCGTCATTTGACACTGATTTAGGAGCCATGGCGGAGCCATACCAACCCAATAGCGATTATCAGTGACGACTGGTGCCTGTTGACAACTTTTGCGAGTGACAGTCCAGCGACTCGTCACCATTGGATAGAGCATCAATTGCCAATTTTCTCATGGCTTTTCGGTTGCCATTGACTTCTCGAGGATCGATGAGTTGCTCCAGAGCCACATCAAGGTCATAGTGAGCTTGGACGGCTCTGAGCAGGCGAGCGGATGGCTCCTAGCCAAAGAAGACCTTTTTGGTGCCAAAAGGTTTGGAAGCCACGCCTGATGGACCATGGCCGCAAGCATTGTTTCAAAGGGAAACCGAGGGGAAGCCAAAGCACGCGTTGCATTTTTTTGGGGGTCCAGTCTTCCCCAATTTTTGACAAACCTCTTGGTGGCCCTTTAAGACGACGTGGCAAAAGTAGCGCAGCTCTCAGACCCTTCCCTCGCCCCGGTGACCCGCTAGTCCTCCTGCGCCTTCGAGTGGGCGCTCCACGGCTTCGCGCAGAGCGACCGGGAGACGGAGCTCTTCCTGGCCGGGAGGGGGGGAGGTGCTGCGCGTTCCTTTCTTTTTGGAAGAAGAAGATGTGTAGATGCGACATGTATATACATACATGATATTTGGACATGTTGTGTAAACGCATATATTTATAGATTGTGTATATATATATACATTGTACATATATATATATATGTATACACATATATATATATACACATTGTAGTTGTGTTTACATACCTGTGGGTGCGTTGACCATGGGCTCCATGATGATTTCGGGAGATTCCATCGATGTTTCAGGTTGGCCCAAAGAGTGTGGAGGAAAAGGCGTGATTTGCCTTGTTCAAGATGTTCAAGAGTCAGCCTCTCCTGCGCAGATCCACTACTACGACAACAGCAAGGACTGAGATGTGTGGAGGTGGCTTTGAGTCAAGGCGGAACCCATCACTGCCAGCTCCAAGGGCATCACTCACGAGCTTCCTGCTTGATCCAGCGGACCCCAGCCTCATGTGTTGCACGCACCGCAGCCTTGAGTCTTCGCGATTGACAGCACTTGGGTTTGAGATGTTCACCTCAGTTCAAATGAAGATGGGTTCGTATTGCTTGTTAATCCCCCCTGTAGTGATTTCCCATTTGGGTATGTGCCCAAATACGGACTCCGAAATGGTTGGTTTTCCTTCAGCTTTCCCACAGTACTGCGGGACACGTGCTTGTGGGATCATGGATTGGGATTGCCGGGCTTGTTCTGATGAAAGCCTAGCATTGATTTGCGGACATGTCTGAAGCTCCCGCATGGTTTGGGCGGTAGGTCAAAGGCTTGATCATGTTTACAGATGTGCCGCACTGTTTCGTTTGGGCACATGATTGCAAGGTCCCGTGGATGAAAGCAACTTGTTGTGTGTCAAGGCTAGCGGACCTTTTAGGCAACACAAGGCACTCAGCTGACTGTGTGCCAGACCTAGTACCTCCAGTATAGTAGATAACATGCAAAGCCATCAAAGCCTGTGGTGCATGAAGTAGTGACTGGAAGCAGCAGGCAGGGCACTGGACTGTTAGACCGCATCGCAGTGCCAGCGTGTCAGACGTGGCCGAGATCTCAACCTTGAGACCTTCAGTCCCAGAGCCAAACCAATTGGGAAGGTGCTGAGAAGAAGTAAACGCTCGCGTACACTGTCCGAAAAGGCTACATAACGAAGCATACCAGGCATACCTACTGTACACAGGGACATGGTGGAGTCTGTAGATTGCCCTTGTTTATGGTACACGTAGTCACATCTGTCATGTGTGTTGGACTGTGACTCTCGATTGGATATGAATTCCATGATGGGGAACGGCCGCAACAAGGGTTGGTCGACAAACATGCCCGTTCTTAAATAATGACGTCCCCGTCCCCCAAAGGTTCGTTCCACCACCAAAATTCCCACCTTGCGTCAGGAGTACCTGCCGCCGAAGTGGAGGAAGAATGCGATCCAAGCGGAGCCTCCGGCGGCAAGCAGAAGGTGGGCCTTATGGCAAAACGGCCGAGAACGGCTCACCGGCACAAGATGCAGCGTAGTGTGCTCTATTTGCCCCTGCAACACTGGGCTGGGGGGGAATAAATACACTGCACACAAAATGTGCAACCTCTTCAAGATGTTAGGGTTGGCAGTAAGCGACCAAAAGGAACATAAGGGGCTAAACAATCTCAAAGCTTCCCGTGATCACCGAATTCCCACAACCCCATTGGGGCCACAGGAAAGCAGGGGGAGGGAAAGAGGTTCCGTGCCATTTCTTGAAGGCCTGATGTCGTGTCTTGAGGGTGCCGAGGTGTTCTTCCACCCCCCTGGATGCAGTTTGTAGATATATGAGGTGTACATGACCACAACGTCCTGGCACGGGGCTGCACATCCGAGCCTTGCGAAGTGAGGATGCGGAGGCGAAGTGCACCTCCTACTTGGTCTCCAAGAGGTACACCATCAGCAGCTCGGGTTTGAAGCTTGTCTCCCTGCCTTCAAAGCCACAAAAGGGTACACCTCAGGAGATGGTGCGGACGAAGGGGACAGCAACCAAAACGGGTCCGTCCTGGCCAGCCTTTGTGCAGTTGGCAGGATTGAGCGTCTTCAATGTGGCTATGATGCTAAGTGGTTGGAACCTCAAAAGTGGTTGGAGGAGACAACTCCTTGCACATTTCTGATGTCCACCAAAGAGTCCCAAGTTAAGCATCACAACCGCGTGGTAGATGTTTGGTGTGGAGGAGTGTCAAAGGGATGCCGCAAGGCACAAGGCCGCCAACAGCGCATAGGGTTGGGTTGGGTGCCAAGCCCCTTGGCAGCCGAGGCATCCGTGAGAGGGATCAGGGGAAGAAGATCGGGGAGCTCCTGTGTCAGGCGAGGTACGGTATCGCTCGTGGCGCTCGGAATCTCGGGCCAGAGGAACAGCTATGAAGCAACCTGCAGAAGCAGCTAAAACGCGTTTGGATTCGTCGCAAGAACCCTGGGTTGCCTTGCGGGCTTGGTCTCCGAACCCAGCCGTTTTTGAGGAAACCGGTGAGGTTTGCCAAGGCGCAGCGGGTCAACACGGCGCGCTTTTGGAGGGGCCAACGGTCGCTTGTGAGGACATCCGGAAGCTGGAGGCGAGCTTCTGCATCATGGGCTTCGTGGGCCGCAAAGGCAGCCGGAGGGGGCGGTAGGACTAGAGGTACTGTGGTTGGGTAGTTGGTTGGGTCGTTGGTTGTGAGTTTATGGCTTGGGGCAGACAAACTCTGTTAGTTTGGGTTTCTGTTGAAACCATGGGTTGAAACCAGCTGCTGTCGGAGCTGGTGGTTTCAGTACGTGATTGCCTAACCCTCGGTGCGTTCGTTCTTTTTTGGAACTCCATTTTGTTCTGGAGGGGCGTTGTTGAGGCCTTTGAAAATGGACGGCACAAGTTTCCAGTTGTGAGATCCAGGGGCGTCAAAAAAGAAGAAACACACAAACCATAAGAGACCTAAAGTAGATCGGGGAGCCTTTGCTTTTCAGCAGTGCCCGGTAAGAAAAACTGGGTGAAGCGATGTTATGAAATCTGAACCTGACTCAACAATGCACAGTGGTTTTTGGCATAGGCAAAGACAAGCACATCATCGGCTCCAATGTGCTGGAGGCCGGGCCAACATTCGAATTCGCGACGGCCAGCGCGGGAAGGCACTGCCCCGTCACTTTCGGGATTCCACGGTTCTGATTTTCTATCCCAAAGCGATTGGATGTCAATCCCCATGCAGCATGCATTTCTGATGCCTACCAAAGGGCCCAATCGAAACTCATGCCCATGCAGCAGGTGATGCAGCGCGGGAAGTGCAGCTGTGTGGCCACTGGGCAGTGGTGTTAGAAAAAACACCAAGGGGAAAAGCGGCCCTGGTGCGTTTTTTTTTGGTACAATGAAAAGCCACCGTGTCCCTGCGGGAAGTCATGTCACATTGTCAGGGCTCATGTTACATTGCGGGGCCTTCAGCATTCGGCGGCCAGTTTGCTTACGTAAGGACCTCCATGCAAACGCTAGGTAGCCACAAGCTTTCCACTAGTAGATACTTGGTCTCTCAAGTGATGACTCGGATGCTGGCCACTGTCCGCCAGTCCACTTGTTTCGAGCGATGCTGCTTTGCAGGCTTGCCTTGCCGCCGCCCGCATGGGTGTTTCCTGAAACTGGGGATCATCGACTCTGCTTCAGCCAATCTCAAGGGGGCCGAAATTTGTCTCGCCGTTTTGCCCCTCCCTGTACAAAGACATAGTTATTTGAAAGATCAGAGGAAATCTGTCAATGACTTCATCTCGGCCGTGTGGGCCTTCGCCCGAGGTCTTCAAGGAGTCGGATCCCGGCAAGTTGACGACGCAGAGACCCGCCGCTCGCCTGAGAGATAGATTCAGCGCTCGTTTGCGCTGAATGTGGTGCAGGGTGGGGGCATGGAGATGTCAGGGCTACCATGGTGTGGGGCTCTAGAACATTTGGCAACGCGGCTTGAGTGGCTTTGCCAATATTGTGCGGAAAGGAGTCACAATTTGTCAAAGTCAGAATTTGAGAGGATTGTTTGAAGCAGTTTGGGTCTGCGATACGGTGGAAGGACAAATTCATGCACCTGAAATGTGAT